TTTTTTTTTTGGTAAATAATATACCTATATTTTATATGTATATATTTATATTATATTTTTCATAGGTACATTATTGGATATGTAATTTACAGATTTTTGTTTTGTTTGCAATTTTAGTAGGCGAGATGTGAGAGGGAATGACAACTAAAAGAAATTGGGTGATTGATATGCTATTAATAGGGAGTATATTAATTACAATTATGACAGTTAATGAAATGCTTGAAATAAAATTATAAATAAAATATGAAGTTTAGTGGCAACGATGTAAAAACATAGAAATACTACCATCTCTTATGTCCTACTGGTCATTTAAATTTGAAATTGGGTTTTACACATAGATTTATAGAGTGATGGGTAAATAAACTTTTTATAAAGTTTCATTAAAAATTTCCATGTATTTATCACAATTTTTGTGGTTTTTATCCAATTTTTATCAATATCGATATTTTCCCTATATTTCCGTGTTTTTGAACCATCTATATTTCCAAATCCCTCGATATTTAAGACCTTAGTCATGAGAAGTTAGATCATTTCTAAGAACACCATAAGTAAGATAATTAACAAAATTAGCATACCATGGCTTTTTGACTTGGGCAACATATAGTTGTTCATCCGGGACAGTCTCATTCAAGGGTAGCACAACTTCTCCTTGTTCTTCAACCACAATTCTACTCAAATGGTCAGCCACCACATTCTCACATCTCAAAACTTCCTACAATACCTATACCAACATGTTCAGACTAACAAGGGGAGTAATTTTTGGTCTCAGACCCTTGTCAAAATGTGGTCAGAGCAACTCGGAACACTACCAAAGTCGCTGGTCAAACTTGGGTGTATTGATTAATTTCCAAAACTCCGAAATCGATCCTAACCACATACATAAACAACTAGAGCACGAAGAGTAGATGAAGTTTCATACCTCGATCGAAGGAAACAACAGCCGGAGTTGCTGAAAATGGCGTTGGAAAACTCAAAATCCACATACCTTTCCGAGCTCGCAACGACGTCGTGAGCGGCTGAGGTGGTTGACGTTTCTTTACTTTTGTTTTTTGACAACCTTCTTTAACTTAATTTATGTTATTAAGTCAAATCTTATCTTTTTTAATTACTTTAATTAGTGGTAGTCTATTTTCCAATGATTTCAATGGGAGAGGACTTAAAGGGAGCTGATTGGGCTTTGCATTCCCTTCAGTGTTCTCAAGCTAGCAAGGTAGCCATTTGATTTATTGTTGCATGGAGGAAGCTTAGTGGTCTGAATTGTTGCTTCCTTCTCCTTTGGTACTGAAGCTTCAGTGGGCCACGTGTTTGAATCAGGTGTTTCTTAATCACAGAGATGTGTTCAGCTAATAATGACTAGAATTAGTGTGCCACGTGTCTGTAATTAGTTACGTTAAACATGTGAAGGCACGTACGTGTACTGTGGTAATGAAAAAAACATATTTGATTCCCACCATTCTAGAATTCTCAAAGCTCTCTCTTCCTGAATTACAGATTTCCTCTCGCTTCTATTTTCCTAAATACTTAGCAAGATGCACTATATTTCTTGATTTATAAGAACTTTTTTGTGAATAACAACAATACAAATTTATAAATAAACCCAATCCTAGACATGTATTTATAGAAAAACCCAAGCATTATTTAAATATAGAAACACACCCAAAATCAACCTCAAAGTCAACTTTTTGGGTGTGTTTATAAATTGATTTTGAGTGTGTGTAATGATTTTGGGTGTGTTTATATGTTTAAATAGTGCTTAGGTTTTTTTAATAATTTAAGCCCCAATTTTAGGTGTTTTAGTGAAACTCCCCAACAAGCATGATTGTCTTAATAAAGTTTTCCATTTTTTAAGACGAGATCAACAAGCTAGAGAATTTATAAATGACATCCCCCAAGCATCAGAAAAGTGAATGCTTGATTGTCTGCACCAAGATAAATTTCAATCAACTTTCGCAGGTCAGCAAGGCTTGCATCTTTGAGCTCTCTATAGTTTTTCCAGAGTGTAAATGTGTTGCGGATCCTGACAAGCCTATCATCTGGTCCCCCTATGCCATCGTCTTCCCCTGGATTTCTGCTTGGCCGATTCACAGTTGGTGTATGTTGATAATCCTTAGGTATAGATGTCAGGGATCCCATATTACAATTACTCTGGAGGCCAAACCCATCAAAGAGATACAAGTTTCCCAGCTACTATATAAAAAGTGACAGCATAATATGAAACTTCTAAGGTTTAACTTTGACCATAATATGTTATCTTTTGAGGTGCCCTTTGTGAAAATCCTACATTGAAAATCCACACTCCTATAAAGGTGTTTATAAACATAACACTATGATAATTTCATGAGTGTGGTTAACAATGGAGAGTTGGGCTAATGGGCTTGGCTATAGGCTCGGCTTTGAATTTGACTTTCATTCATAATGATTATATTAATCAAAGATTTGGGCCTTGGGGCTCTTGGGCTCCAGGGAAATTTCATTGAGAGAGGTTGTTTTTGCGTTTTCATTTTCTATTTTTTACATTTTAAAGATATAAAATAAGTTTCTTTACTTTTGTTTTTTGGCCAAAAATATATATAGGTACGTATTTTTCAACAATATATTCGTGTTCTATTCACGTCTCACGTTTTCTTTAAAAAGCAAACATACAATAGTCGTATTGTACATGTACGTACATATTTCTAATATTTTATACACATATTTTCTACAAAATTTTCAGTAAGACACACAAAATTCATGTATTATACAAATAATTTTCACATATTATTGAATAAGAATAACATATGTTATAAAAATTATATTAAAATATGATATAGTGGAAGATTAATATCTACTTTGGATATGTTGCAAATTTATATCTATAAGGTACAAACTAATGCAACTAGGACGGCCCTTTTTTATTATTAATTTTTTAATCAAATAGTATAGCCGGGCGGCTATACTTATTTTTTGACACGTGGCTTTAAAAGACGGAGCTTCTTGTTTAATTTTATTTTTATTATTATTTTTGAAACGTACAGCTGCACGGCTATACTCCAATTTTTAATTTTTTAAAATGCACGTGTTGACACGTGGCGACTAATGGTTGGGGGTCCTCTTTTTTATATTAAAATAGTATAGCCGTGCGGTTAATTGTTTTAGAACAATATAGCCGTACGGCTATACGATTGGCCGTTCTGTTTTTCTCCTAGAAAATACTATAGCCGTTCTGCTATACGTGATTTTTTTTCAAATTTTTGTAACATAATAGCATTGCAGGCCAAGTTTTTTTTGTTTTTTTTTATTGTCTTTAATAAGTAGTATAGACAAGCAGCTATAATCTTTTAGATATATATGTATATAGGTACGTATTTTTCAACAATACATTCGTATTCTATTCACGTCTCACATTTTCAACAATACTATTGTACATGTACGTACATATTTCTATTTTTATACACGTATTTTCTACAAAATTTTCAGTAAGACACATAAAATTCATGTATTATACAAATAATTCTCACATATTATTGAATAAGAATAACATATGTTATAAAAATTATATTATAATATCATATATAGTATAGCCGCCCGGCTATACCTATTTTTTTTGACACGTGGCTTTAAAAGACGGAGCTTCTTGTTTTTTTTTGTTTTTTTTATTTTTATTTCAAACCGTACAGCCAAACGGCTATACACCAATTTTTAATTTTTTTAAAAAGGCCCGTGTGACACGTGGCGACTAATGGCCGAGAGTCTAGTACAGCCGCTCGGCTTTACTCAATTTTTAAATTTTTTCAAATAGTATAGCCGAACGGCTATACTATTGGCTGATCTGTTTTTCTCCTAGAAAATAGTATCGCCGGTCGGCTATATGTTATTTTTTTTTTCAAATTTTTGTAAAATAATAGTATTGCAGGCCAGGGGTTTTTTTTTTTAATTGTCTTTAATAAGTAGTATAGATAAGCGGCTATAGTCTTTTACATATATATATATATATAGGTACGTATTTTTCAACAATACATTCGTATTCTATTCACGTCTCACATTTTCTTTACAAAACAAACATACAATAGTCGTATTGTACATGTACATACATATTTCTAATATTTTATACACGTATTTTCTACAAAAGTTTTATTAAGACACACAAAATTCATGTATTATACAAATAATTCTCACATATTATTGAATAAGAATAACATATGTTAGAAAAATTATATTAAAATATGATATAGTGGAAGATTAATATATACTTTGGATATGTTGCAAATTAATATCTATAAGGTACAAACTAATGCAACTAAGAGGGTCCTTTTTTATTATTAATTTTTTAATCAAATAGTATAGCCGGCCGGCTATACTGCGATTTTTTTTAAAAAACAAATATTTCTAATTTCCATACTCATCTCGAAGACATGACAAAGTACAAGTTTTTTTTCTTCGTATAATACATGTAATATACACTTATGCATGTAGTTTTCATATTTAATACACGTATTTTTTTATACAAAATTTTCAATAATACAGCCAAAATACACACAGTATACACATATTTTTCACATATTATTGAATTAAAAAAATTAAAAAAAATAAAAACATAATATGAAAATTTTATATAATGGCAAATTTTTCAAAGTATTTTTTTATAAAAATTTTACCAATTAATACACGTATGCTGTGCGGCCAAGAAAAATACCAAATAGAAAAAGGGAAAAGAAAAAAAAGGAAGCGTTTCCATCAAAACAGAAACTAAACAGAAGAAACGTTTTCTCCCTGGCTTTTCCAAGTTACAACAACTCACTCTTGCCGCCCAAACTCACTCTCTCTCTCTCTCTCTCTCTCTCTCTCGTTACGGTTCTTCTTTGAGCTGCGCTTCAATGGCTGTCAATAAAGTAAACCCCCTTACTATTCAACTTCTCTTTCTTTATTTAACTTCCTGCGACTTTGTTGCTCTCTTCTATGTTCTTGAAATTTCATTTCCATAGATTGCATTCTGAATTCCAACTTTGTTGCTTCTTTTGTCTTCTCTTTACGTGCTTAGAAATTGTAAGAATACGTAAAAACTTTCGATCTTGTATTCAATTTCAACTCCCTTTCTGCAAGATTCTTGAATTTATTTCATCTCTGACGATTTCCAAGCAGACGGTTTATTGCCTCCATTATTTACAAGCTTTGATTTTGAACCTAATTTGCCCCTCATATATCTTCTTTGAAGCACTTTTCCTCAATAAGCTTCATATCTCATATCTGTGTAGGGTAAGTTTTGATATAGACACACAGCTATATACAACGCTATATATGCTCAAGAGACAAATGATCTTTGTGTTCTTGACTGTCTTTTATTGGTGGGTTTCTCCTTACTGTTTTTTATTGGCATGTGCTTGACCACATTATATGTAAAAGTCGTGAAATTTGTGCATTGCTTTCTAGTTAGGATTAAAATAACTCTGACTCTTCTGGTTTCTTAAATTTCTTTAATCAGTTCTTTTTTTAGTCATTTCTACAAGATTCCTATAAATCCCGTCTCATGATTGAACTGCTTGTATGCATAATGTGTAAACAAATGGAACCTAATTATTTGTGGGACAGAGAAACATTATTAAGTGGTATTTGAATCCCCTCCTGTGTTACTCAACTAATATTAGTGTGCCTGTGTGCGCTTTGTTGTGGAGCTTTTTTTCCTTCATTATCTATGGATAAATTGTTTTTTATGCTTTATTTGTAAATCGCAGCAATTATCATCTCATGATGCCATGGAGTTGGATAAGGACTGCTCAATTGTGCTTGAACTATCTGGAAGTGACCTCCTTTTTGATAAAAAGAAGGTGAAAAAGAAATAAATATGAGATTTTTTGTTTGTTTTATATATGAAATATATTGTTTATAGGATTTCATATGAAGTCTAAATGATAGTAGTAAAGGAAATGTGAGAGTGGAATTGTATGCAGTATGTACAGTGGAGAAATTGAGCAATCACCCCTTTTTGTCAATGAGCTTCTGATACTCTTAGATTCAATGACTTATATGTGAGCTGTTGGACGCGTGCTGTTAACTAAAGTAAGAAAGGCCAAACTAATTACTGTATGAATTTTATGTTAGATTCTTGTTAATTAGGCAGTTTAACTAAAATAAGTTGAAAACTACCTGGGGAACAACTGTCAATACTTCCATTTACTATGTGTACAAGATTTGTACATGCTGCTAGTTTTTCTATTTCTTGTAGAAGAATTAGTTGAGTTGTTTCTACCATCATTCTTTTATTTTATTTTTTCTTCTCATCTTCTGGCAGAAATTGCTACAAGATATGGGATTTAGTACCAAGGAAGAAATACTTGTTAAAAGGTCTTCAGATCCTAATTGGATCAGTACCTCCTTGAAAGTAATGCTTCAGATTGAAAGAATCATAAACTCAGATGAGGTAAGTTCATGTTAAGGATTTATTGTAGAACTAGAACAATGCCAAATTCACAATATTCTGAAAAATGAGGCCTTTCCTACCTAAATCCCTCTTTAGATACTTCAAAACTCATAATTCTGAGAACTTCTTGGACTGTTTAGGCACAAAAGGGGAGACAAATGGCTTTAGAGTTGCCTGATAGTACCTTGATTGCACTGTATAATTAGCAGACTAATGATGAAATAATGGGTTCAATCGGTGCAGACAGAGCTTTATTTTGCTGGAGATGAACCAATGGATATGTATGGCCCCAGAAATGAGCTAGAGGCTCTCAATTCAATCCTTCAGCTTGTTGAAAGCTCACTCTCTAGTGCTTGTCTAATGCAAAAGAATGTCCTGCAAGAATTCCGCGATGCTATTGTTGATATGATGAGTCAGTCTGGGAACAAGAACATTTTGGAGACTAAAATTGTAGAAGGCTACAACTCTGATAAAGAAAGGAAATTGTTACAATGGGGTGAAAACAATGGTGTTAAGACAAGGTTGGAGATAGCTTGTAAGTCTTAGCTCTTCACTGCTATGATTACTGCTGTTGTAACTTGTTTATTCTTTCCCTCTTTTGATGGGGTTTCCTGAGAAAAGAAAAGAAAAAACCTAACCATGTACTATAGAAGGAAACTAGTGTGTAGTGTGTACTATCTCATGTCTTTTGTGCTTCATTCATCATAATAGATGTCGAAGGGGCTGGCAGAGGAGCCATAGCTACAGAGGATCTGAAAGTTGGAGATACTGCTTTGGAGATCCCGACATCTTTAATAATTGTTGAGGAGCTTGTGCAAGCTGATATGGTATGTTTATCACGTGAACAATACTTTTAACTTTCCTATAAGTATTACCTCTGTGTTTATTCAAGAAGTTTCTAAAAATATATGGGCAGAAACAGAAAATCAAAGTGAACCTACATAGACTCCACATCTAGCGAGGGGCTGAGTTGCTCCAAGATGAAAGTGAAAGAATTTCATGAACTTGTCTTTCTTCATGTTCACAAAGTTGGCTCCAGATTTTGTTGGATTTAGAAACGATTGATGAATGATGATCAATTTTTATGAACATCTGTTTATCTGCTATATGTGGAGTTTGAGGTGTCATTCTACCGAATGTCAATGGTAATTTACCTAGCTACATAGAGTTACCAATTGAACCACAAGCAAAAACCAGACTTTATTCTAGTGTGTTCCACATGATGTAATCATAAATAAACTTCTCTCCACTATGTCTTGAAGAATAATCATATTGGATCTCTCTGTTAGTGATGCATCTGTGCTTTTTTTTTCTTGTTCTTCTGAGGTGGTATAAGCAACAGCTAAAGTAGGTTTTAGGTCTGTATCTTTCATATGCATATAGTCTGTTGGCTCAAATAAATACTGCGTGGATTAAAATGCATAGTCTATGAACAAGAAAAGTGGGCCAATATATTACTTTTTTTTTCTTTACTGCAGTATCATGCATTACAGAAGTTTGAAGGCATTTCCTCTGAGACGATGTTGTTGTTGTGGAGCATGAAGGAGAGGCACAATGGTGATTCACAATTCAAGATCTACTTTGATACACTGCCAGAAGAATTTCATACTGGTACATGCTTTGCCTATGAAATTTCTATTTTAATTTTGTGCAACTACAAAGTTCATTTTATGTGAAATTACATTTTGGATTTTAGTTTTCTTTTTTAAGGATTTAATCTTTCTTTGAGTAGATAGTAATAGTTTGATGTAAGTCAAATATAGAATTTATACATTTGTGTAAAGTTTATTTTTAAGCTGCTCAAGGTTTAGTATATCAGGTAATGATAAAATCAAGATACGAAAACAAAATTCAGATAAAATTATATGTAACTCAAAAAAATAATTACCTACGGGAATGAGAAAATATTACATTCATTACCTTTTTTATTTAATACTTTCAGAAATTTAAGTGTGAGGCAAGATAGTAACTCACATCTAATTTTTGTGCAAGATTTTAATTTTTAATGTTTAATAAATGCAAGTTGAATAATTGGTATTGTTTTACTTTTTCTGAATACATAACTGTGATTTTCTCTGTGGGCACTTTTGTTATAGTTTTTCTTCATGGGGAGTAAAACTATTTAGATATGCTGGAAGAATTAGGCAAATGATTTTATCAAGTACAAGAAACATCTGGGGAAGTTTATGGTTGTGCTTTGTTATATGTCAGTTTTTTTTCTGCTAATTTAAATGTGAAGACGTACCTCTTCTCCAGTTGTTGCTGCCAATTGTAAAATATACGAAAAACCTTTGCTGTCTGCAAGTTAGTTACACTAACCTAAGGTGACAATCATTCCTTTTGCCGTGGGTTATTACTAAACATTTTTTGTAGATGATGAAAAAAAAGACTCTACAAAGAATGATTGTACGTTTATGGATAGTGTTTCATAAAACTCCAAAATTCTCATTCTCACATTTGCATCTTAAAAGCTATGAACTAAGATGGACTTGCTATAAAGGTGTATAGGGAACAGTGTTGGTTTCTAGGAAGTTTGAACATCTCTAAGGAAGTAGGAAATAATGGTACCTAGAACGTTAATAATGTCAAGTCGAAAGCAACTCATGTGTAACCGACTTTTCCCTGCTATGGGTTTAAAACAACCATGATAAGTATACATTGGAAAATTTGGTGGGAGGGATGAAGTTATTTGTAGAAATCAAGAAGTCGATGAAGTTATTTTGTGTTAGATTATATAAAATAAGCATGTGTATTTGGACTGGATTTGTCAAGTCTGATATGATTACACTGATTTATTTGTTTTAATTTATCTCTTCCTTTCTTTCTTAATATTCCTTCCCCAATATGTTGCAGGGTTGAGTTTTGGAATTGATGCGATGATGGTTTTGGATGGAACCTTGCTGTTGGATGAGATTATGGCAGCCAAAGAGGTTATTAGCCTTTCCAATAGTGTTATTAGATTAATTTGTTTGGCATTTATGCTCTCTTTCTTTCAGTTATAAAGATTATATCAACATTGTTAGATGATTCATCCATACAGAGGTGGCAATTTGGTTTGTGTCATCCTGCCCCTATAAGAATGGGTTTAGGCATTCCTAAGTAGGCTTGAGGGAGAAATAGGGAAGAGATTACAATAAAAGTACCAAGGCAAGCTCAGGGTGAGGAATTATGGGTGCTCCATTCAGCTCTGTCCAACAAAAATCACCTCATTTAGTGTACAGTTTTAGTAGTCCTCCTTCACAATCTATCTGAGTTCCCTCAAGGGTCCTACATTCTGCAGTGATCACACTCCTACTCTACTCTTCTTCTCTAAGATTGTTTGCATCTTGGGGAATATTGAAGTTCACATTCTTGTCTGATAATGTTGCTTGTTTGCTGTCTTTCCCATTTATAAAAGTAGGATTTGATTATTTGTACCTGGTCTTGAGTTATTCTATATGTTGCCTTTTCAAGTTATCTTTAATAGAGAATGCTGCCCAATAACAAATCTACTATGAGACCAGGGTCTGACCCAACCTGAATGAGTTAGTAAATACAGGAAGAACATGGAGATGCCCAAATCAATTATGGAGCCTCCAGCCAATCACTTTCTAATTGCCATTGAAATATTTGATCTCTCACTTTCGTATAAACTAAGAATGGAATGTTGTATTTGCATCCCATTTCTTTCCTTTTTTTAAATTTTCTGATAGGATTTCATCGTAGAACTTTAAAAATTAAGCATCTAAGTCCTTTTCTTGTCACAGCATTTGCGTGCTCAATATGATGATCTCTTCCCTGCACTGTGCGAAGATCATCCTGATATCTTTCCACCAGAGCTTTACACATGGGAGCAGTTCTTGTGGGCATGTGAACTGTGGTACTCAAATAGCATGAAAATCAAGTTCCCTGATGGAAAGCTGAGGACATGCTTGATTCCCATTGCTGGCTTCTTGAACCATTCGGTATGTCACCCTTCTTTTATGCCCCACCATTTTATGCCCTGATTGTTGAGATAAACTAAAAGTTTAAAATATACTGAGAATTTCTTCCAACAACTTATCATAACCATCTTCCAAGTGTACTTTTGTGAATTGGTTGCCAGATTCCAAAACAGTTTCTTTATATTGTAGAAACTAAGAGGTTACAAGGACAAGAATGACCTTGTGTTATCTACTTTCTGGACAGTCAGTTTTGGGTTTAATTAAGATGTGTTTGTAATGGTTCATGTCATTGAAAAAAAAAAAAAAAACCTTTGAGTTGTTCATATCAATGTGATATCCCGTGGTCATGTTTTTGCTTTATTCCTTATCACAGCTAGACCCCCATGTAGTGCACTATGGCAGAGTAGATTCTGCAACAAATACCTTGAAATTCCGTCTATCAAGACCATGCAATGCAGGGCAAGAATGCTGTCTTAGTTACGGAAACTTCTCTAGTTCTCATCTAATTACCTTCTATGGCTTTGTACCTCAAGGTGACAACCTATATGATGTCATTCCTCTAGGTGAGTTTTATTGCTCTATCTCACTCATGGATATTTTTTACAATTGATCAAGCAGTACCAAACGTGACATAGTTCTGATATATCTTCACATGCCAATGTATTGTTGTTGAAAAATTGTCGCGGACTTGTGCTCTATAATATTAACTAGTAACATTTCCCATGCAGATATTGATGCTGCCCAAGATGATTTTACTGAAGGGAGCTCCATATCGAACTGGACCACTCACATGGTGCGGGCTACTTGGTTATCACATAACTGCAATATTTTCTATTACGGCCTGCCTTCACCATTCTTGGACTGCCTAAGGAGAGCTCGGAGCCCCATGCCTCATACTAAGGACTTAGTAATTTTCTATGCTTATTTATGTTATAGTGGTTGACATCATCTTCATTTTCTTTTGAATATTTTTCATTAGGAAATGGCATTTATTATTTTGTATGATCTATTCTAATGAAATGCTATTATTACTTTCACATTACTCTTGTGTGTTAAGAACAAGAAAATATTTGTCAGATTTGCGTTTTCTTTCCAATATTGTTTAGCTTTAGTTTGAAATTTCTTTCTTGATTCGGTTTTTATGTCAATTCAATATTCTCATATATGAACTTCCAATTCTTTATTTCACAGCTACCGGAAAATTTGAAGAATGAAATTGAAATTCTTGAAGATCTTCGCCACATCTGTGATGACATGATGGATAATCTTGGTGATGCAGACCTTGATGACAGGTAAAGTCTCCTAACACTTCATCACATAATCTGTGAATCTGTGATTGATTGAAGCAGCAGAAACTTTCCTTTGTTGAAATGAGAATGCGCATCTTCTTTTTTTTTTTTTTTTTTTTTGGTTGTTGCAGAAAAAACACTAATTGGGATGTAAAGCTGGCAATCAAGTTCAAAGATATACAAAGAAGTATTGTCTCTTCAGTTTTAACTTCATGTTATTGTGGCCTGAAACTGGTGAAAGATGAATTGTCTAAATGCCTGGCTGAGGACACTCCTGGCTCAAAGCAGATATAAGTTTACAAATAAGAAAGCTTTTTAGTGTACAACTTTGATAGGGCACAATTCTGTTTTAGTAGAGAATATACCAACCAAACTAGTGATCAAATTTAGGCCACAAGGTCAATGATCTGTCAATATGAGCTGACAAATCGACAGAATTTTGTTTGTCCTCATTGTATGACATGAGCTGCTTGAGCATAGAATATTACTTTGGTAAAGCAATTATGCTTGTCATTGTGCTGTTTTTTGTATAATATCCCTACCTCAACTAAATCTATATTTTGTTATTTTTCTTTCTGGTGGGGAAGAGGTGGGTTGAGAAGAAGAATCATGAAAGGTCAAAAATGAAATAAAACAAAGGCATGGACATTGCCTTTTTAATGTAGTCAGTGTTTTCTTGTCAATTTTAGATTATTGTAGGAGGTCAAAAGTATACTTTTTGGAATGAGATAAGGATGCCAACGTTTGACTCAGAGCCTTCCATTAATTTACAACTTTGTTTTTTTTTATAAGGTTTTGATTGATTGTAGCCAAAGAATTATATATTTTCATAATATACACGAAATTTAATTAAATTAATTTTCGTAAAGGCTCCCAAGAATCCCCTATTTTACTACGAGCGAGCTCGTGTAGTACTGACCCCTATGACTAAAGGGATATATATTTTTTTGTTATTGTAGAATCCCCCAAGTTCTGATATGCTCATAGTCACCCACAAAATTATGCATACGATGCAATGAGTTTTAATGGCTCTTATTAGCCTCCACAAATTTGAGGGACTTAATTTCGATTAATTGAGAAAAGGGAATCGAACTTGAGGCTTTTTGTTTTTCTTTTGTGCCAACAGAGGGGCCCACTCAAGCCATTCAAGATTATATATTCCACATGCAACTCGTTTCGCATTAACGTTAGTTTTGTTACTAAGTAATATTAATTATAAATATAATTAAGGCAGATTTTTTGTCCAAACGAAAGAAAAGAGAAGTTAACCAAGGTGGTTGGTGTGAGTGGTTCGGCACTCTCATTCCTTAAGAGAAGGTCAGGGGTTCGATCCTTGCTCTCGTATGGAGTCACCACTTTGGCCAGCACTTTACCCCTTACGGGCCGACCCGGTGTGAGCGGGGATTGAAAAGAGAAGTTTGAAGGAAATGGTAGTTAAAGTGGTGGTTAAGGAGGTTGTGATTTGTGAGTTGAATAAGAAGGATATGATTATGATGTTTACGTGTTTCCTTCCCAATGATCAATTCATTACATCATTATGATTTTTCTCATAAAAATGATTTTTCTAGCCATCATCTTTGGGCTCGTTTGAGAGTGATTGTAGGAATGCCAAAATCACTTATGGGGAGAAGCACCTCCCACGTGCTTCTCCATATAATCACTTAAAGTGATTCTGGAGGAGAAGCACCTTCCATGTGCTTCTCCTTAAAGTCACCCAAAACCACTTGAAATGATTCTCCGTAGAATTAATTATTGGCTTATCCAAAATTACTCTCAAACGAGCTATTAATCAACTGATTTTTTTTTCACTTAATTGAAAGATATTTCAAATGCGAATATTATAGATACTTATTTTGTAGTTGTTCTATTTGACTTTTAAGAAGGAGGCCCTCGTTATAAAAAGAAAAAGAAAAAAAAAGAAGGCCCTCATTATATAATTCTAAACTTTTTTTTTTGTATAGGGTAAAACAGCACTTGATTTAATCTCTTGTTGGAATTTTTAACAAAAAGAATGTCAACAAAACAAAAATAATAGGAGTGAGACGAACTTGGGCTTTTGGATATAGCGAAAAGGTTATGGTTCAACTCAGCACTAATTACAATCCAATTGTGGAGGTGATCACTTGTAGGAACTTCAACGGAGAGATAAGTAGTGAACAAAACAATTCATGTAAATGATATTAATTTCATGGATTGTGTTAAACATACTCCTTAAATGCATTTTCAGAGATTCAAATATAGAACCGCAGGTGCATGATTAACTGCTCTTAATCGCTTGAACTTGCGGTAGTGTTTTTCAAAGGAGTATACGGCTATAAAAAAAAAATCAAAACATGCATAATTGATATGGATGACGTGGCACAATGTGACTCATTACCCATTTTGTTGTTGATGTCTAAAGCTGGCAAAAGGTCCCATCCCAATAAGAAAACATACATTGGCTGTAGCCAAGTGGGCAGCCCACCACCCCTTCTTTTCTCATTTGTCCCCAACCGCCAACGCCATCTTTTACTCTCTTCCCAACCTTTCTCCTCTGAGTCCAATAAAAACAACTTCTTCTTTATGTTGACGAATCGACACTTCCTAGTCGTTGACCTATCGCCAATCTGTCAACGTGCCGAAACCTCAGTGGATCCGCACTTCATATGTTTTCTAGGGTGTCGCACCTGATCACGGCTTTATCTCATAAAACTTATTTAATATTTTTAATTGTCAAAAAAAAGGAAAAAAGAAAGAAAGAAACACACACAGATACAGGGGGAAAGAATGCAGTGTGAAAATAGAGAGATCATAGGATTTGCTTTTACGTCTCCTTCTCTATCTCTGTCTGAGTTAGCCCTCTCTCTTCTTTCATTCTCTTCCTTCTTTGCTTGGGAGAAGCAAAGAAGAGAAGAGACGAGAGGAGACAACTGAGAAACAGAAATCCACCTGCCCCAGCAAGAAACACGTTTTATTTGAAATTTTTTTGAAGCTTTGTACCGGAAAATTATTTTTAGAGCTTTACCGCTGGCTTTAAGGGTTGGGCTGGAATTAGGTTTGGTTGCTTTTGATTGATTGTGGGTTTTCGGTGTTGGTCAAGATGATGGTGGCAAGCAGTTTTGATCTTTGGAAAAAAGATGTCTTCTTTCCTGCAGCTGAGGAGGTGCAAGAATCAGCTGATATGTACGTTTCCTTTTGCTTTTCGTTGGTTTTGATCATGTGGGTTTCAGTTGCTTTAATTGGTTTCTGCGCATATGTGGACTTTGTTTTTGGAATTTGGAGATGGGTGTGTTGAATTGTGTTTTTTTATGGGATTTTATGAGATTTTCTGAAGTGCGAATGGATTGTCTTGGGTTATATCTTTCATAGTGCTTTTAAGATGTGTAATTTGTTGGATATTTTTCAATTATGTGGTTGTGCTGCTGGTTTTGAGTTTCAATTCAATGGGGGATTTTGGGTTCTGGTATTTTAGGTTATATCTTTTTTTCTCTTCCCCTTTTCCTTCTTCTTAAAGTTTTGATGATGTGGGTGATGCTTATATTGGGCTCATTTTCAACTTCTGGATACATTTATGATAAATATGCTCTCATGATGCTGTGTAAAAGATAATTTGTTTACAAATATACAAGGTTTTGCCTTTTTCTACCATATATTTAGAATTATGTGGGTTTTCAGTATAGCTTATGTGTGGTATAATTTAGTGGGTTAGTATGATTTTATCCTTCGTTCTGGATGATAAGAAAAAATTCCGCACTGTCTGGGAATGGGGAAAGATTAAATTTTTGATCCTAATCATTTGGCTCAAAAGATGGAAGGGACATGAACATATAGTGTTGGATGACTTCGTGAGCCAGTCATATTCGGTAATGGTAAGGCTTCTCTAGTTGCACTGTTAAGATGATGATAGACCACCCTATATCCCAGGAGTAGGCGAATGGAAGATGAAAAGCCACTTTCTTCCACTTCAGAAAAATTTGAGTTGTTGCTGGACAGGTTGCCAGCTCCTTATGTTCAGCAATCAATGATCATAGGGATTAGGTCGTACTGTACTACTATTCTTTAAGGTTTTGCAAAGATTGAAGGGAGCTTATTCACATTTTCCACTCACTTGAAAAGTATAATTCGTTGGTATTTATCTCTGTCTAGAATGTTCAACTAATTCGGAACTTGAAATAATTTTTCCTTTTGCCGGCCCTTATTATTATTTTTTTGTTGTTGTGGTTTTTCAGAATGGAATCCACGTACAGGGCATGGGTTCGACAGAAGAGAGAAAGGTTAGCACCAGACAATTTGGATGAACTTTGTAGGGAGCTGCAAACCGCTTTAGGTACTGCCAAATGGCAGGTAGGTCTCCTGTCTCTGATAAGCTGACTTCGCTTTCCCGCCTGTTTATTCACTGTATAAAAATATTAATGAGAATTTGTGAGCCTACCCGATGTAGATAAGGTTTCCATCAGTTTGATTTCGGGAAAGTCAAAGACTCTTCTCAGCTTTAACCATTGTTCAGTCTTTTGTTTCAAAGTTTCCTAAGATGGAGATATATGCTTTCTTTAGTGGCACTATCCGTTTGCACTCAATTTCCTGATTTGGTTTCCCTTATTATTGATACTATCACCAATTAGAATTCAGAGAAAGTTTTGTCTGCAAGCAGTTTAGCCAATATTACAATTTTACTTACTGTAATTCTGTTGTGTTGAATTGTGAATGCTGGTTTAGTTGGAAGAGTTCGAGAAAGCTGTCAGGTTGAGCTATGGACAACGTGGTGATGATCATACAACAGCTAGACATAAACAATTTATTGCTGCCATTGAAAACCAAATTTCTCATGTTGAAACAGCATTAAGGGAATCATTTAGTGTGGAAGGAAAACAACCCCTTCGATGGGTACACCTGGATGAAGAAGAATGTGATGATTTTGCTGCATTTCTGTCTGGGACACCCCAAAGTTTGCTATGTGCCAAAAATGAATATGTAGAACTTGGACCTTCTGTGAAAAGCTCCGAGGAAAATGACTTTAGAAGAAAAGACCTGGACCTTAAATCTAATGCTGCCTGCAGCAGAGACATTTCTGATGAATTAAAGGGTGTTAAAGATGTTATTACCATATCTAAGGATCCAAATTTTGTCATGGAAGTAAAGGGGAAAGAAATTGCAGGAATGAGGGATGATATAATTTATGATGCAGATAGAACAACTAATACAAGGAAGGCATGTGGTTCACCAAATTATGGTGATTTGAGGATCATAATAGCTGATGAAGTTGAACACAGAAGAAAACTAATTCCAGGGTGCGAGGACACACCTAAAGAAAAAGGATCCAAACTTGTCTTCTGGAAGCAAAGGTGTGCACAATTGCATCAGGCAACAGCAGCAGTTAATTTGTTCAACCAGGTCAGTTTGTTACATATTTGAAAGGAAGAATTGATTATAACATTTGATTAGAAGGTAATACATCTTACACATGCAAGGAGAAAGAAGAGAACAATCATGGATTCTTATACCTCTATTTGTTCTCTCCCCTC